ATGTAGTGGTTATGCTCTCCCTCTTTAACAGGACATAATACAACATACAATATATGCACAGTCATTCACTTTTGAACAAATGAATAAAAGATAACATTCAAGCTAACATCTGTGCACCCAAGTAGTTCACACAACCATACATAACTAAAGGCTATTTTACAGCTATACAGCATAATGGTCAACACCGCTGATCTAAAGTGATTACTATATATACACATATACATATACACACAGTCATATAGATAAACAGAAGAAACAAAAACTCCTGTGGTTGGTCAAAAAATGCCATTCCTAGGCTGTACATAATGTATGATAAGAATATTTACAGCAACTTGAAAATGAAAGCAGCAACAAAGTTTATTGCCAAGACAACAAAAGGTTCAGTGAAATAAAATATTCACAGCTCTGAACAGAAAGATTAGTGATGTCAAGTAAAATGAGTTAAATTTGATTATTGTCAAACAACATGACAGCAAGTTGTCTGACCCAATGTACATAACAGTCCCTCCTTTGGGTCTCGCTGAATATCCAGAGATATTGTTTTTTCACATAGAGGTAGTTGTAGCACATTATTTTTCAAGTTCTTGTTCTTTATTCGTTCTAACTCATTTGCTGCATCTGACATTTGGTCAGAAAATAATTTTATGTTGCCCAAAGATGAAACTGGATTTACACTCCCAGAATTTATGCACATTTTCCATGTTGATTTCTCCTGCACCTTCACACTGGAAAATGAAATGTTTTGGGGATCAATTATGTATTTAGTGCTACTGTGAATCTGAGAACCTAAACAAATGCTCATCAACTTGAAGCTTTCAACCAGATCACCCACACTTTTTGATGACAACTGTACAGAATTACCAGATCCTGCACATCTGCGAGTAGAACCTGAATTATTATTCGTGCTTCCACTAGAGCTACTGGAAGGACTGCCACCCTCTTTATGATTATCACCAGGACTTGTTTTGTCAATCCCTCCATTTCCATTGCTTGGTTTTCCTTGTCCACTTCCATCTCCTTGATTTCCTGGAGGACCTTCACTACTATCTCTTCTATGCCAGGAGTAAGTAAATCCATTATCTTTATCTAGACATCGCCTGCTTTCTGAGTCATCATCACTTGTTTCTGAGCTACTGCAACTAGATCCACGGCACTGACTTTTCCTTCTGTGGTAATGTTTATGCACAGTGCTGGGTGAAGCAATATTCATTTTTAGCCGACTAAGTTTTGGAGGCAAATTCTCATCCATATCAAATTCATCATCAGATTCCCCTTCCTCAAAAATCTGATTAAGAACCGGGGCACTTTTCCGAGAAGTAAGACGACTTGTAACAGAAGGCTTACGACGCAGAACAACTTGATTTGACAGGGTTTTTTTATCTTCTTCATCCTCCTCTTCATCTTCCTCCACTCTAAACAAGCACTTCCGACTACTAGTTATAGGTTTTAAATTTACTGAGGGAACAACTGAAAGTGTTGATCCAGCTAATTCAGGAATATCCTCTTTCTTG